AAGGATAAATGGATACAAAACATGAATAATGTCAGACATTTACAATTTGGAAGGTAAAGATAGATTAGCTTCAATAATGTAGGTACCAAGAACATTATAAAATGAATACCCTACATAGAATATAGGATGTCTTAGGTAACATTGTCTGGTGTTTAGTACCTATGTATTGCTGCCACCAAATCAAAGAACTGACCGCTAAATTTTTGCATCATTTGAATGTACTTATCAGGGATATAATATAAGAAGGGGCACAGCAATTGCATAATGCATCAAATAATTCACTATTTGATACCACACACCGGAAATCAAGTAAATTGCATAAAGGGGCCTCTTTATACGGCAATTTCATCTTTATTGTACCCTACTTAAGGCTCATAATCAAAAGTCTACATAAGACCATGTTTAACTGCATGATTATTGAACCAATGATCAGATCTTCTGTATAATCCTGTGTTAGGATGATATAAATTTCAATTAATTACATGCAGTAACCATTAAATACTTAAATAATGAATAATTAAAAGTAATTAAGCATGCATACGTAATGCAAACATATTTAAAATAACTTTAAGTATTCATTTTATTTGAGTACCCACTTAAAAATATATATGAAAAAGAATTGCTTAAGCATGTCTTGTTATGTTCAATATTTAATGCTTCCTGATTACAGTTATAATGGAAGATAATTGACTGGCCTTTTGTTCGATTTATAACTGATGATGCATTTACATAACAATCATGGGTACAAACCAACTCAATTAGAGGTCCTATTGAAGTCAGATGGCAAGAAATCATAAAATACATATTTACATCGTCTTTTGGTTCAAAATGAGAATAACAACGAAAACTATGTTTCAAATAGAGTTAGAATTCAGTTGTAATGTACCATTTTCAAAATTGGTTAAGAAATTTACACCTACCTACTTATCAACTTTTTACACAAATACTAGCTGGGTGCTTTAGAATGTGGTAGAAAAACTTTTAAAAACAATAATTCAAAGCCACTCACCTAACTAGATGGTTTCGCCAGGATCCCAACCAGCCAGCAATCTTCTTTTCAAGTTCTTCATTTTCTTACTAACTTAGAGTCCATAACACATACTTAAAACTAAATAACAAACATGATATAACGCCAAATAAACCTCAAAATACCAAGAAAATTAAATTTAAAAAACAATTATTTTAGTAAATAAAACTTTATAATACAAAATAAATAATAATATAATGCTGAATACGACCCCTAACAGATTGTATTTAAAAACCTGTCTTGACAAAACTGCACCAAAATTATACAAACAATGGTCTACAGGTCTAACGGTCGCGAGACAAAAGACAAACTGCAACACGTAAACAAAAGATCGTTTTACTAAAAACAAACGACTATACGGCAGAGCGATAAGACGTGAAATTCCTAACTTATTTTCAAATCAGAATATTATCTAGGTAATGTGGGTACCTACATTGCGTAAAATTCACATTTCACTATTGATACTCGGTCTAGCACACTATAGTCGATTGAAAGTGTCTTATGCTAGATACATGTCTTTTTATTAAATTTCAGAATTGACAAGTTTTAACAAATATCTCCCACTGCATTTTGTACAACTCTACGCCATATTTGCAAAGTAGGTGACGGTGTTGCCAGAACAAACGAGGAAAATACTACTAAAGGATAGGGTTCAAAACACAGCCACATCCTACAGCAAAGAGACGTATGTTAGAAAATAAATAAATAGTATAAAAAATATATATTATTATTTAAAAACATCATTGTTACAACTGAAAATCTTCAACATTTGGTAATTAAGTAACTTTGTTCAGTCGTTTTTAATTTTTTTAATCCGTGTATTCAGAGTGGTATATCTTACCCGACTGAAGTGTAATACTCTTTATTATCTCGTTTCTTCTAAACTACCCAACCGATTTATAAATAAAAAAAATAAAATAATGTTTATTTCGGACAAGTGAAACATCCATAGGGGTTAGTAAGGAAACATTTAAAATCATAAAACTATGTTAGTACCTATATTGTTACAAGCCTACTGTTGGGAATACATCTTCGCACGATACCATGTATTATAGATGAATCGTACCTCCCTGCTGGCAATGGTTTTCAAGATGGAGTTGGAACTGGCCCGCACCCTGCAGAGCAGCGATGCAGACTTCTGTCTAATAATGGCATGGAAGTCATCAACGTGTGCTTGAGTGAACATACCAGATGCACTGCAGAAACGGGGCAGTCCCATCAACATTCTGAACCCATTATTATATTGGACTCGCAGTGCGCTGATAGTCCGCAAAGTATAGCCGGCCCACAAGCTGCACGTGTAGAACACTTGACAATATGCTTTAAAAAGCGTTACTTTAACCTCTTTGCTACAACGTGCAAACCTGCGCGCCAGCATATTACATCGAACTGCCAGCGCCCTACGTTCCCGCTCAATGTCTACATGGTCCCTAAGGTCGTCGGTCACGTAACGACCCAGGTATTTGAACTGGTAAACACGATTTAGTTCATTACCATTAAGCCTAATTGCAGGTACAGAATCTGGACATTTATCACCACTCGCCTTAAAGACCATGAATTCACTCTTAGCAACATTGTACATTAGGCCATGAGTCTGTGCATAGGACTCACAACACGCAAGTAACTCTCTGAGCGACCTGACCGTTGGGCCCAGCAGCACCATGTCGTCGGCATAACTGATGTTATTAATACTGCAGTCATCAATGCGACAGCCGATTTTCTTACTTCTGAGCTCAACGATCAGGTCGTTAATATAGAGGTTGAACAGTTTTGGAGAGGTTATTCCTCCCTGCCTTACACCGCACTCTAAGCCATACGGCACCGACAACTTGTCGGCCCATCTCACATTATTTATCTGGTTATAGTACCAGTACTGAATAATACGTAACAGTTCAGCCGGAACTTTTCTCTCCCGCAGCTTATCCCACATGACATCATAAGAGACGAGGTCAAAGGCACGGGAAAGGTCTAGAAAACACGCATAAACTGGAGTTCGACGCCTTGTATAATATTGTACGGTATGTTTCAGCCCGAGAATCGCACTATCAATGCATAGATTATGGCGGAACCCGAACTGAGCATCGTGCAGCTGCAGAAAATTATCCAATCTTGTGTCCAGCTGACTGTCAAGCACCTTCGCGATAATAGTAGCTAGAGAGATGGGTCGATAGTTGCACTTATCTGATATGTATATATTTATACTTATCATATTATATTATTCGATACGTCATAATAACCCAAGTGTTCGTAGGTAGGTGACATCAAAACAGCAACATGAAAACAGTAAGGCGCTACAGTTTATAGTAAAAAAAATTAACTAAAAAAAATTAAAAAACTATCAAATTAAAGAGGTCATTGAGAGAGTTTTAAAATGATTTATCATGTCTATTTGGAATAAAATCTTTAAGTAGTACACATATTTATTATCTTTGTATCCAAAATTTAAGTATGGAAGAGCCATGACTGGGCCGGCTCGCTCAGACTGAAACCACGGCCTCACAGAAAACAGACGGGAAACAACACTTGCATTGTGATTTATCATGTGGGTGAGATTCCCGTAGGCTTTATATCCATTGGCGGTGTCGATTACTGGTTTATCGGATTATTCCAATTATTCCATATATAAAACCCACATGACAAATCTACTTGCTGCCTTGATCATTTTGTAAGCATTCACTTTAAAGTGATAAAGTAAAATTATTTGTCTCAATTTTTAGTGATCTTCGGATAAAATAGAGCTTAAAATAAAATAACTTAAATTAAAAAAACCTAAGTACAAAAATACTAAAAGGTAACAAATCAAGCTTGGTTTGGAAGCATTGTACGTAATTTAATTTAAAATAACTGTTACAGTCGGGACCCATATAAGACGGGAATATTTTAGCGGAAAATAATAATGGGTTACTTTTCAGTTTTTTTATTACACCATTTAGTGACTCCAAGTGTGTCCTCCAATGTCAAAACCTCAAAAAGGCTCGCTGGCTAGTTGATGATATTGTTTTAATTTTCACTAAAATCTACAAATAAAAAAATGACACTTTTCTGTTCATTTTTACGTTCCTTTTGCAAAAAGGCGAGACAGAGGCCAGTTTTACACCTATCCTTATTATGTCCAATATTTTTAATAGGTTCGCCTTCATCCGGCTAGTTCCTCTTAAAACTTTGTTGTACCTACATAAGGTTCGAAAAATTTTTACAATCTGGTTAATTCGTAACATTAAATGACGTTGAAAAAACGATAAACAGGTAAAATTTTATTTGTACAGAAGCCATTTTCTTCTAAAAAATGAAATTTGGTTAATATTAATTTTATCAATTGAACATTATGCGAATACGATATTAATTTATAGTTCATTTTGTATAATTTATTTGATGTACTTGTTTTATTTTTTTTAACAAACTCAATGTTTAATACGTTTTGTGCACTTCTTTTTTTTTAACATCCTTGGTTTATACAAAATTCTTATTATTTATTAAAAGCTACTATTTTGAAACACATTTTTATAACAGCCACCCTGTTCAAACACCTGTCAGATCTGAGTGTTGTCGGAATCAAACTAAACCAGTAATCGACTAAAACAATACAGCAATACTAAAGTTATTTGACTAGTAATCGATTAAAAAAAGAAAAGTAATTCTAGTACTTAATATAAACTTCTTCAGTATCTTAATAACAAAATTGTGTTATAAATAGTAACTAGTAACCAGTGACACTTTCAGTTTCCAACATAAATAAATAGGTACTGGGAAATTATTTTTAAAATATTTTTTTAAACATTATAAATAACATTAAAAATAACTAGGCATTCAAAACTATAAAACCAGTTGAACGAAAAAAGAATACGTAAATATTGTTCAAAATAAAATATCAACTAAATGATTCATGAGATTAGTCGATTTTTTAACGAAATTAAAATTGAACACGTTGGTGCAGCTCTGTCCACAACTTTATATTTTTATTTTATTGAGTTGACTGACGTGATAAAATGCTAACATTATTTGTGTTGAGCTCAATGCTGTAAAGTTGGATGGATGTAGCTTTCGAACATCTTTCTGGTTTATTTTATAAAAGTTTATTTTGTGTAACTTAGTTTCTCCGACATCATCATGGGTGAGTAGTGAAAACAAAATGAATAGTTTATGTTATTAAACTAATTTTTCTTCATAAGATACAATGTTGTTTCGGTATTTTTTTTCCAGAATCAACTTCTGTATTTGAAGACCGTGAAAATTTAAATGATTTCTTAGAAGAAGCAGAACTACAACAGTATTATGAATTGTTTAGGTAAATATAAACAACTTCATGTTTCAGTTTTGTTTATAAACCCTTAACTTATCGTGTTGATATAATAATAAGAAGTTGCATACCTTTCACTGACTTGAGGTGTTTCGACTAGGAAAGTGAATTGTAGCATCGTAAAAGTTGTTTTTGCCAATTTGCGAACTTGATAAAAGTTTTTTTAGTTAAATGTTGTTTATGGATGGTGGTTTGTTTAATGCTATGCTCATTTTAACACACCACATGCTCCATTTTTTTGCATATTGCGATCTCTAGGGAAACTTTTTCAGTGTGAATGATACTTTTCTAAATTGCTTATAGTGAAAGATAATTTGTGGCATAAACTTTTTGTCTGTTTTGCAAATAAGTGAGGTGTATGAAAACTTTTAAACTTCTTGGTAACTTTGTACTGATGAATAAAATGTTAATATTTCATGTTTGTTTCAGAGATATTTTGAAAGTTACAAAAGTTTCCCAACTGAAATTTGTGCTCACAGAAGATTTAGTTCAGATTGGACTCTCAAGGCCTGAACAAAGACGTTACAAAAAGATCTACTCGAAGTACTTTCCGAATCCATACATATCGAAGATAAGAAAAATGTTGAAACCATCCAGGAAACGAGACCAGGTTAGTGCTAGTGTTATTTTGTGAAACTGATATTTCTATTGTATTCTTTTATTATGTCTAGAAACAGTGGCTAAGTTCGTACTTGTCTTTTCAGACACTTAAAATTACTTATCTCCAGCCATTTGTTTCTTCATAGAAGGAGTACACTTATGTTTCTGTTACATATTTATAACTTATTTAGGATTCTATTATAGAGGAATGATTTGTTCTTTCCATTTTATGTGGAAACATATTTACCCCTTCCTTTTATATTACTTTTCTAACACTCTCAAAATCAACAACCTGTCGAGAAAAACGCCACTGTTGGACTATGGGTCTCCTCTACACCTGACGCTTTCGTCACAATCTCTAGAGATCACAGTTAAAAAATTTCAAATTTATCAGAAAATGGTGTTGCCCAGTCTTGAATGTGTAGTAGCTTTGTTGTCTCTAAAAACAAACAACTTCCTGTTTTATGTTTTTTGCCTTAAGTCTTTTATCCTTTGATTGATTGATTTAATCCATCTGGCAACCAAATACTTACTTTCACCGGAACTTTTCTCTACCCAGGACCCCTTATTCCGTGGATGTGTTGATTTGTAGTTACAAAATACAGCAAGATCCTTAACTTCAAGTAAGCTTGACTGTACTTGACTCAGTAGACCTACATGTCACTTCACCTTCGCTATGCATGATGGCATGCGAACACTGGACTACTGATTTACTTAAGGCCACTAGATTCTCTATGCGCCCATTGTCCTAAAAGTCCACCTATAAGTTATGCAGGCAAGATGCAGGATATTGGAATGTTACCACAAGGCGATTGCCTCCTTCATGCTATCAAACAGGGAGTCTCGCAAAAGGATGCCATTTTCCCCAATTTCCTTTTTCTGCCAGAATAGCAGGACCTAGATGACTGCTGGCATAATATAGCTCTTGATCCTGGTAACTAGCAGGAGCTGCCGCTCAGATGCCCAGGCGTGTTGTCTACGGAATCCGTGTCACCTCCGCAGTGGTGGAGTCATAGTTGATGCACTTCCCCTCTTATCTTCCCACGGCTGTTGTAACCTACGAGTTTACAGCACCCGTTCTTACGACTCGTAAGATCCGAATAAGTGTCTATCTACACCTTTAACAGAAACCAAAGGGCAAAAAAAGCGCTCTCTCATAGTTAAACTTTAGCTTGCCCGACCAACCAAATCGCCCAAAAAGCGTGATTATGACAAACCCTCATACGTAGAGGAGGCTCTTAGTCCAAAAGTGGGATGATTCATCGTCATCATCAGCCCATAAAATTATCCCACGGCGGGGAAAATTTTTTCTCCGAACAGTGACAAAGCAGGTCAAACTTATAATATGAATTAAGTTCAGGTGTCAAAATAAACTTAAAAAGTACCAAACACTCGGAAACTGTCTCATTCACATTGGCGCATGATAGCATGACTTGCCAGGTTTGGAACCTAAGTGCACAGTTAACTTCCGAGCCACCACGACCTCATTATAATGTTGATCGGAAATAACAGATACAATAAGTAATATCAGAGTTATATGTAAAAAAACACCTTGAAGCCACAAGTAATTACTAAGTACAATTTAAGTTTACAACTCAATCCGCCGAGACGCGGCGCCGCCGCCGGTGCGATATACCGTAAAATCATTCCAGGAACGATTTTGATACAACGTAGGTTTGTAGATTTTGTAGATTTTGGGCATCGATGCTCAAAGTTATCTTGTCAATCGCATTATGGTACGTCCACATATAAGCTCAAAAACACGTCGCGAACTAAAGCAAAGCTCGCTAAAGAGCGTGCTTGTTTATATTCAAACCCGCTCGCGTGCAGTTCGTGATGCCGGCAGACGGCGAATAGCCGCGCGCGAGCAATGCGTTCACCAGATGTGATCGCCCTGTACAATATATTTTAACCATTACCCTGCTCTCCCGCGGTGTTGCAAAAGTCGGCTTTTAAGTTCTCAGTCGACTAAGAACTGCATATTTATTAGAACCTGGACAGTAGCGGTTTCTGATAATCCTGAACTTTTTAAACTGTTATGTCCAACCTACCTACCAAGTGTGGAGATTATGACAAACCCCTATTGTGTAGGAGAAGCCTATATTTCAGCAATAGATTGTAAAGGGCCGTTGAACTATTTTTTTTATGGCATAAGCCGGTAATCGAGCAGACGGATCACCTGATGGTAAGGAATCGGCGTCGCCCATGGACAGCTGGAACACCAGAGTTACAAGTGCGTTACCGGCCTTTTGGGTATTAGGAGTTTGAGGATCGTTGGGGATTCAGGGATTGGGGCGATTGGGGAAGGGGAGGGTAATTGGGCCTCCGGTAACCGCACTCACACGACGAAACACAACGCAAGCGTTGCTTCACGTCGGTTTTCTGTTAGGCCGTGGTATCTCTCTTACTCCGGTCGAGCCGACCCATTCGTGCCGCACACTTCCACACTTAAGGAAAAGTGTAGTGAAAAGGTGTGAAAATATGTTTTTTATTAGAAATTTGCCGGGTGAGCTAGTTAATATATTTAGTTAGATTTACCCATTAATTTCCTTTTCAACCATTGCAATTTAACAAACTGATATTTTTAACTGCAGCCGCCATGTGGCATGCACCACGATTTTTAAACTAACTAGACTAGTAAGTTTAGACTGGAGAACTTTGTACCCTCATGCCCAACAAGTTTAGGCACGTGATACAACAAATAAATACTGCTATTTTATATAAGTACCTATTTACCTAAGCGTTTATCACCCCAATCAGATACCCACAGTATTTTACGGAATCGTCTATCAAATAGGGACATTCAAACACATAAGGTAAATTCCGGCCCATTCGTACCGAAGCATGGCTCTCCCACACTTAAACTTATGATTATATAAACGCGCCATTAGAGAAGTATAGGCTATTATAAATTGTTTTTATAACCAGTGACACTGAAGGTTATGGTATATACTATTAATATCTAAAAAACAGGATTACTAGTTGACCGAGATATGTTGCTTAGCCAAGATATTGTTCATTATTGGTGACACCATTTCTTTTTATAAAGTGTTCGCAAATGACATTGTAAAATAGTTTTAATTTGACGTAGAAATAAATATAATTGCATCGGCTTCAGCTTGCCGTATCGCGTACCTATTCCATTCCCCAATGGATGAAGTAAATGTGTAGCAAGTTATGATAGATTAGCGTTAAGCTGTCGATCCCGATTGACATATAAACATCTACAGGTGTACAAACACGGGCATAGAGAAGATCATTTCCTGCTTTTTTAATCAAAACAATGCTTGTATGGGACAAGCATTGTCTTCAATCTTAACCGTTTACAAGCCACCATCTGGATAACCGAGCTTTGCTTTTGGTGTTTTTATTAGTACATAATTTAAACACCAAAAGCAAAAGAAAGAAAGGATGAAATGTAGATACAAAATAGAAAACAGAAAAGTAAAAGAAACATTAGGACCGAGGTTTGAACTCGAGTGTACTGCGTAGCAGGCGTCCACCCACCCTGTCACTTGACAGGGTGGGTGGACATATTATAGAATTATAATAAAGTTATTATAATTCTATAATATGTCCACATATAGAATTATAATAACTTTATTATAATTCTATAATATGTAGTGGCGAAATTTAGCTTCATATTAAATAAGGATTTTTATTCAATGAAAACACGGACAAAACGTCAATTTCTGGAAACGAAGCCGAGCTAGATCCATTTAACGCCCCCTAATCCCGTAATTACCAAATTTCAAGAAAATCGATGGAGGCGTTTCCGAGATTATTGATACAATTATACATATACATTATGATTATATACAAGAATCGCGAAAAGGATCACGAGCAAATTGGACGTTGAACCAACAGTGTTGATATATATATATGTTAGATGTTTGAAAGATATTTATTTAGACATATATTTATTTATTTAAAATATCTTTATGATTCCCGAAGCGATTATATAGGGTTAAATAAATCTCTTAAATAGGCTACAGTTAGGACCAAAACTTCATAAGAATAACCTTTAAATTTCATCACACTTTTATTAGTTATGTTGTTATGGGTCCCATTTAATAGGAATGGGTCTATTCTATGACTATAACCTGAATACAGTTGCAGATTCAGGACATCGAAAATGTAAAAAAAAATATTCGCGAGTCGAACTCGGAAATAAAAAAAGCACGAGTGTGCCTGAAATTAATAGTTTCATAGCGTTAATTACCAACCTTTTTTTTAAAAAACGTTGCCCCATTCTAGGATTTTCTCCTGTGTCGTTGGTGCGTTCATAAACATACAAGTTCACATATACATAACACTCGGACCAGAAACAACTATTTGTGGATCACACAAAGAGCTTCTTCGTGCGGGAAAGAGCCGCTACACGATGCGCGGCAGCCAGTTGCCCAGGCACCGCGTCAACCGTGCAGTCAGATTTGAAGTGTGATTTTCTCCAAAACCTCATACCTTGTGAAAATAAAATTTATATTTACGTAATCTAAACCTCTAATACCTACTTATCAATAAATGACATGTCATTTCTATTGGTTAAATGTTCAACTTTCATACTAAGTCTACGATCATTTAATTAGTTTTCTAGCGATTTTTGTGGAAAAAGGTTACTCTAGGGAAAGTTGTCCATTTGGACTCCCGCGGCCCCGCGCGTACGTGCGAGGAGATACTGGGGTGGTTTTAGCCGGTAAGAGTCCGGCACACCCCTCGGCCTTTCCCCAGGCGGAGGCAGTCCATAACTATTTCCGTTAAAAAAAAAAAAGAAAGTTGTCCATGTATCAGAAAAAAAACAAAAACTGCGTTCAATAAAACCGACTTCGAAAACCAAAACCTAAAAACAAGCAAAGGGTCAAAACTAAAAAGAAAAAAATAACTTTTATTAGTCATACGTACATAGGTTACCCACTCACTGATAGGTGAGAAGTCAAGTTTTAAACAAAAGTTATTCTCTAAACACGTACTAAATACCTTATATTACCTAAGCTGTGTACAATTTTATTACCATTAAATCGATTTAGTGATTTCGAAGACTTGTTTAGGTTCTAAAGGTGTCAACACTTAGAACTAATTTTTTTGTTCGTATTAATTTATTCTCCTCTGCCTGCTAGCAACGAGGCAGTTGGCCGAGTGGTCACAAGTGCTACTGCCGGGCAAGCGGTCTTGGGTTCGATTCCCGGTCGGGCAAAGTAAAACATACTGGGTTTTCTTAAAAAATCGCAGTAGTAACACGTACTCTGAAATTGTGCTCGGTACAGTGGTCACAACACGCCAACAGTAGGCAGAGGTGGCCTACCGCTTCGGGGATAAAAGGCGAAGAAGGTGGTGGTGGGGAAGGGAAGGTGATGTTATGTTATTAATTTATTCGTCCCATTAGGTACTGATAGGTTCAAACTAATACATTTACATCCTCTATTATACTTTATTTGATCCCCATGGGACACCGGATCACTGATCCGTTTGGGTTGTGCGTTGTTAGATCACTATGTCAGTCAGTCAGTCAGTCACCTTTGAGTTATGTATATTTATATAACCAGTTTGAACTGATTACAAGACATAAAATAAAATTCCACCTCATAACAAGGCATATAACATAGAGTGAGGCGCTCATGATACATGTGACACTTAAAGGGAAATCAACGCACAATACGATAATTATGCAGACATAACTTTTGAACCGTTAAGAATCAGACCACCATTCCTATCAAAATGCTAGGGACTGACCTCCTCTGTGGCCCTGTTCAAGTTGATCCCTACTTCTAGGGACAGCGTGTATAATAGTCCCAGATGCTAGCTAATTAAACATGTGCCACACTAAGTAAGATTTGAATATGGACAGTTATAAGTACGTTAAGAATCCTGCATAAACCAATCTTAGCGTGTTGCTACCTAAAAGTGCCTTATTTGCCGTTGTTAATGTAGTCATAAAATTTTCCCTGGAAAATATTACATTTTGTGTTTTAATTTTCCGGCTTCGTGCTCATCGAAGGCTCGAGAAACACCCCAAATTACACGAGTTCTGATAACGTTTAGGGAAAAAAATAAGTAGGTATTAGCTATTTTTATCAGACTTCGACTCGTGGATTTCAAACAGAAACTTCGTTCTCTTCATTTTTGTATAGCTACATCTACCACTATAGCTGTGTATAAATTGCGACAGTGGTACCATCAAAAAATGAATTACAAATATTCAATTTCAACTTATTTCCAGAATTTTCACGGACATACATCAATTCCACTGGAAATGCAACCAGTTTTTGAAAATAACGTGAAAGTGCCTACGAAGCATATCATTTCTATCGAGGATATAACTATTAACAAAGAGCTTGGAATGGGTCAATTTGGTGTGGTGCAACAAGGAACATGGACTACAGGGAATCAAAGAGTATGTACCGTTTAATATTTTCATATGAATAATACATTATGTGCAGATAGTCAGTTTTAAAAATGTACACGCTAAGTTGCGTTTTGCATATGTTGCAGGCGCTATCAGCCGCGACGATCGTACGACATTCATGTATGCAGATGCAGGGTTCTGTTCATGACTCTTGTTATTTTATCAATGCAAATATGCTTTGAGGTCGTACTTAGGTCAAGACTTAGACATTTTACATAAATGCTCTTACAGGATTTCACAAAAGTACTCTATACAAACAATTTTTTTCTTTACATTTTAGCTGCAAGTAGCGATTAAATGTCTAGGTCATGAAAGGATGACATCAAATTCGACAGAGTTTTTGAAAGAGGCGGCTGTGATGCACAGCATCGAACACCCGAACATCGTCCGTCTGTATGGTGTCGTACTTCACCTAGACTCCTTGATGCTGGCAAGTATACCATACAAAAACAATAATGTCGACTACCCGATAAACAAACAAAATTTTAAGTTGCCAACCCATAAATAAATGACCCAATTTGACTTTCTCCTTAACAACTAAGTAGGTACCTATATAAGAGAAAAAATCGAAGAAGCTTACTGTCCCTATAAAAATTAGTAAAGATCTCTTTGGTGTGTTTTTCAACGAAAAATCCAAATTAAACCGAATCTCTCCGATAGCAATTTTTAAAGGAATCCTCATAAAAGTATTGCGTGGGTATCATAGAAATATTTTAATTAATTAGATATATCTATAGACTTTACAGTTTTTGTATACACTTCTTCGAATTTATTTGACCGAAATCAATACACGCGTTTAATAAGATAATATTTTAGGTGACCGAATTGGCGCCACTTCGTTCGCTCTTAGAGTGCTTACGCGAGGTATCATTGCGCCTCAACTTCCCAGTGCCGAATCTCTGTGAGTTTGCCGAACAGATCTGTGATGGAATGTCGTATTTGGAAAGCAAAAGACTGATACATAGGTACGTATAAACGAAACTTTATTTTGTATAGACTGAATTAGCGTGCTGTCACTTCGAATTAGTATGTATCGGTACCCCCTATTACATGGGACTAGCAGCGTAATTGATTATTTCCTAGCGGAACATATGTATCCCTTCGGGGGGCAACAGTCCGTCATATAATAGGAATATTAGACACGTGTATACTTGACGATTGTCGGGATTATTTTCAGTTATCGTTTTTGTATTGAAGAACACTCATTTTTTGCAAAAACAAAAACATTTCCCTCTCGTAAATACCCTCTTATCGAAGATTCAACATTCTTATCGAATACTAAATATATATTGAAGGGTTCTTCAATTTGTTCAAGTGTTGACGAGCAAGCCTCTTTGTATCCGTTATTTTTTTTTCAATTGTGTTTTTCCAAATTAATATTGTTTCTATGCCATAATTATGTATTTTGAACACAATGGAATTTTACACATTTTTTCCTATATAACATTGTCTGGAATGTTTGTTACTGATTCAAATACAATGCTTGAGATAACCGAATGCACTTTGTGCATCTCTATTCATTGTTAAAAGTAGTACATCTATATGTATATAAATACAGTTTTGTTGCAAACAATTTGAAATCATATTTTCAAATATCCATCTTTCACTAAACCACATGTAGGGAACTACACTGATTATGATTGCGAGCAATCCTGCTCAGAAAAACTTATTTTATGACTGCGAAAAAACTAACAGCGTAATCCATTGTACTCTAGAGATATACAAAATACGGACCCTGTCAATAACTCAGATAAAATCTTAATACTTACAATTTTTACCACTTAATCATTATATTTCAGGGATCTTGCGGCCAGAAATATCTTAGTATTTAGCAAAGATAGAGTGAAGATATCAGATTTTGGATTATCAAGAGCATTGGGTGTTGGGAAGGATTATTATCAGACAAACTACAATGTGAATCTCAAGCTTCCAGTGGCATGGTAAGTTGAAATTAGCTTGACGTTCATTAAGTTCTGTTCTGTTATAGTAGTGCTTGTTTGTTTGTTATTTCACGGCTGTCAAAACGGTTGAAGGGATTGGGGTGAAATCGAAATAGGGGTAGATTATAGTCCGGTCTTCAATACACGTAATGTTACTTCTTATCTTCATATCTGATATCTTTTAACATTCGATACAGTACCTATTTGTTTAGAGTTAGACAGTAGTAATAATAGCAAATCATATCATTAGTACCATACAAACTTAACTTATTATAAACTTAACCGCTATATTCAAAACAGTTAAAAGTGCCTATGTCAATGTGTAACAGAAAAAACAGTAAAAACAAAACAAACAAAGTAAACCAAATATTGAATGTCATCTAATGAGATTACAAGATTACTACGTCAACTTGTCAACCACTGCTTCTTGCTTACAAATACCTTGTATTTTACAGTGTAAGCAAATTGCCTATATTTAACAATAATTTGCGTCTATATGCTTACCTAGTTTGTCATTAAGCAGGAATAAAGACGAGTCGTCGTAATTTGTGGTTGCAAGCGCGTATTGTAGGTTTATTTATGTTGACTATAATCTAGTAATCATTACTGTCCGTGACAGTTCACTACTGGATAGCGTAGAAATAAGGGTTTGTCGTTATCTTGATTCTTGGCAAGTGGGTTGGACTTCGCAGATTAAAAGGAATAGGTCTATCAGAAAATGGTGCGGTCCGGTCGGTGTTAAATGTTACAATTCATACTTACAGATTCTAGAGCAAGTTTGTTTTAAGTTAACGTGATCGCCACGATTGAAACGTTCGCTCTGATTGGCCTGCTCCATATTAACCATCCAATCAGAGGGCTAAACGGAAACGTATCGGTCACGTAAACGTAAAACTCACACTGAGCGCTCAGTAGGGTTGATGACATATGCATTCTTGTATAATAGACCTTTTAATGATAGGTTTACAAATGTGTTACAGGTGTGCTCCAGAATGCATCTTGTTTCTTCGCTTCACATCAGCGAGTGATGTATGGGCATTCGGCGTCTGTCTATGGGAGATGTTCACCTACGGATTCCAACCCTGGGCCGCCTTTTCTGGACAGCAGATCTTGGAAGCCATTGATGCTCCTAATTTCCAGGTTTGTTATGTCTTATTTAGTCACATGTTATTTAAATACTTACTCAAATAAAATATTTTATAATAGTCTAGCGACTAACCTGAACCATATTGTGATAGAGAATCGTATTTGTAATAATCCATGCATGCTCATACGATTTATCGAAAACCAGCTTTATCTTTTGTTAAAAGGTTGAAACAACTCCATCAGATATAAAATCAATGTCCTTGTTTAACACTCGTTACTTTTGCAAACGGTTCCCATACTCTCCTGAGAAGTATCTCCTGTTGTATTCAATTCGAAAGGATGTTGAATAAAACAACTGATTTTAAAAACCAGTATCTCAGGTCGTTGGGCTCGTCAAACACGACAGTATCAAAAATAAAATTTGCAACGCAATTAGTTGCACCAAGGATTATCCTTTTTAATGGAGATATTAAAAAGGATAATCCTTGCTGCGAAATACGTTACAAAATCTTTGTTCAGTTGCTATTATAAGAACCCTTGTGAAGTGAAGTCTTTTCATTCAAATTCAAGGAGTGGTCTTGCAGATTTATTGAATAATTGGCCTTTTGTAGTACGTAACCCCATTTGCAAAGCAATTTCTTAAGGTCTTTCTGTACTGTCTGCATAAACCGATAACAAAAAGTGTTGACCAGTACATCTTATTAATAGTTAGTAGTATTACATTTCTTGAAGGCTGGTTAGGGGATCCACCGATCAATGTACTCAAATAATACGCATTAAATAATAATAAATTCAATGTAGCAACTGTACCATCTTTTGATATGCAGCTTTAGTAATAATAATAACCAAATAATGATTTTACGGTCGTTACTACTAAGAAGGCCGTGTCGAATTATTAAGATCGTCTCTTAGCAACGATTTAAGGCGATAGGGCCACCCCCCGGCACATGAGCATTATAACACAACAATAAAGTAGCCATTTTGTGTTGTTTCTCAACAGACCCACTTCAAATTACCTACTTTATCAATATTGTACCTGGTTGCCTATTTATAATGAACCATTTTATAACTACAGAGACTGGAGCGACCAGAGTGTTGTCCTGAAGCTTACTACACCACCATGCTGGAGTGCTGGGCCCACGACTTCAATAACCGACCAAAGTTCAAAGACTTGAGCGCGAAGTTGGCTAGCATCCGGCCAGAGCAGGTAAGAAATATTATCACTGCGGATGTATTCTATGTATAATACTTCATCCGAACCCAAGGCGTAGTTCGAGTCGCAATTTGAGACGTCATATGTTATGAGAATCGATCGAAGTTCTTTTTATTAGCAGTCAACAACCTATTTGGAAAAAGTGAAGTGTGGTAAGAAGATAAAGTTCTAATCGCGTAGTAAAATCACATTAAAAACCCTTGACTGTCAAGCTGCCGTAAAATAATGCTACATAACTACTATCTATTGACTTCAAACAAAAACTAAATAATCTTTTTCACAGGTGCAAGCGACGGTGAATTTCACGAAGCCAGAAGATGGCCGCCGTAACACATTGCTGGAATACAAGTCCGGACAAGTCATTACAGTATTAGGAAAAGAGTAAGTTTCCATTGCTAGCGACCATTATAAAATTAATTAAAAAAATAAAGAAATATTGTTTTTATCTGTTCTCAAATTGTTCACGAGCCTTCCCACATATGTTTTGAGTCGACCTCTAAACCGTTACATACGTGTTATTTCTGCCCAATAAACGTTTAGTCGTAAAACCAAAATATAGTGTAGTATAAATATAAATAAGAATAGGTTTTTAACTAAAAATAATGCTATGCTTTGAAATGTAAGTTACAAAAAAATATTAAAACTATTAAAAGCATATGCGAATTTTGTAAGTCAGCTTGCGCACAAGCAGAATATGCAATGCATTGTTGTTGTTACCTGGTAAAGACATAATACAAGGTCACAAGGTCACATATATTAAATGTAAAACTCAACAATATTCCCATATAGGGAATAATATGACTTGTTAAAGTTAGAAGCTAGAAGCGGAAAAAATTAGATTCCCATACACCTACCAACCTGGTAATCTAAACCCAGACCTCTTGTTCGGCAATCGTAAAATGGCATCCACTTATTGTTTGGTTCTACGCTGACAAAGTTTCATTACCAACTTTATACAGTTGTTGATCCGAACAGCAGCTGTAGCCAAATACCATTAAGCGCTTGTCTACTTGTAGAATAGAAAACTAAATTATATGGAATTGGCGTAAATTTTGACACTTGTCAGTGTCACCTCCATACATTTAGGTTTCTACTCTCTCTGTAGACAAGCGCTAAAGTGGCGTTTGGCTAAAAGCACAGGACACAGAAATGGAAAAACAATAATAGTACCAAGTATTATTTTGATACCTTTATTCAATGATATCTTACTATATATTATAATGATTGGCTCATTGGCTGGCAGGTTTAACATTTACATTGACTGTAAAATATTGACAGTATTTTTTTATTGTAAACCATTGATTATTATGGTTTGCTAGCAACTTAGCGAAAAAGCTTGCGTTTTGCTATTTTACGCTTAGCTAATAGTCAGTGCGAACGATTAGCAATATTTTTATACCATCTGCAAAGGCAATTGTGAATTAAGTTACAATGTTAGGAGGATGTTCAAACAATAACTAAGGCTAAGAAATACTAGCCCTCTTTAAGTCTTGTTGAAGCGCTGGTTGACAATCTAAATACAATAAAAGACATATTAGTAACGCAAGTCATATATTTTCTGGTGTTACCGCTATTAGAATAAGTAGTTGTAAGTTGTTTAAAATAGTAGCATATATTGATGTAGTAATCGTCGCTTTCAGAAACATGACGAAGTGCTCCCTGTGGTATGGGGTATTGCCCGGTGGTGCTTGTGGCATGTTCGACCCCACGCACACGAAGCCCTACACTCCGCCAGAGGTAAGTGCCGCCTACAATCGCTTACATAGTGTTGTTTACTGTCTGCACTTTTTCGTCTGTGTGTAAACTTCCTGTTCTCAGTGGATCACCCAATTATTCTTTCATTTATCGGTGTGTGCATTACGTTATTCACTGCTAGAAGACTTCTAAATTCTCGTCTAAAATTTTGCAAAAGTAAATCGGTCTTCTAGCGTTGATAACGTAATTTCGTGTGTAATCATTACCCTTATCATTCACGGCTACATTATGGGAGCAGCCATTCGATCAAGCTGAATGTTGTTAAAGATATTCGTCCAAATTACTAACGCAGGAGTCAGCTCGATAGATGTTTAGTTACCCACATTAAGCTTCCATCACCCCATTCAGAAAAATGTATGTTACGTGTCGGGATCGTTATCGCCGCACCCGATCCGGCAGTCGGCGCGGTCTATCCGCTCGTCTCTGCTGAGATCTGACGTGAAGAGACACACGTACACTGGCAAGCGGACTATACAGCGCAGCATGATCTCCAGCCCACAAGGAGATGTGAAGCACACGGGCCATGTCGGCCTCGACGGTGCTTACTTCGGCGATATATCATTCCTGGACCCTGCCGGTTGCGTAAGTACTGAAAACGCTAATACTTGCGTGAAAAAAAACTTGTCTCTTATCAATAGTTAGTTAACTGACAAGAAATTCCTTGCTGTTACCTACGAAAAGTAAAGTTCACGCAGGGATTAGACGTTGTTATCGAAACCCATTTAAATGCTTTATATGTGTAAACATAGGTAAACATCATGCTTTATATATTTCACGCTTGTGTGTTCTGTGGTGTGTGTAACTAACTTTTAACAATGTAATAATGTCTAATTTATTTTGTTTACTCCAGGATTACAATATTTACTAAGGTACATTAATATTCTGTAGGTTTAATGCACCCTTGCACATATCTCAAAGTCAAAATCATTTATTTCAATTAGACCAGAAAGGCACTTTTGAATGTTTGTGTATAAGTGCCCAAATGATGTGCAAAACAAATATGTCTTAACAATGCACGTGCTTGCAATAATAAACCGGATTCACGCCCTTAATATTCAGACAAAACGAACATTAGAGAATGAACATTAGAATCTTAAATGAATATAATGTGCTTTACAGCACCAACCTATTTGCATCTCAAAGTGGTGTTTTTTCTCACAATAAAATACTAATAACCACGTATTCTCGCACCGTCGCACGTCGCTATACAAAGTTTAATAAAATCGTGTCACAAACAATCATTACGACGACCTATCACAATCCTATCGTTGGACTTGACTATTATAGATAGAATTTTGACCAATCAATAGTCCAATAAGTAGGTAGGTTGTGTAAATGTGTTGTAAATGACTAACAGACACACTTTACCATTCAAGAAGAAATACCGCATTTGTAGTTTTTGGAATGTAGCAAAAAAGTCATAGATGCACCTATTAACTTCATTCTATCTCCACAGCCACCACGCCAGGTTGTGACGCCGTATAAGCCGTCAGAAGATCTGGAACAGGTGCCTCTAATCAACCCTAACTCACCGTCGCACCTCACTGGAGCCTCGGGGACCACGCCGTACCCCATGTTGGCTTCTGGTAGACCGGATGCTAATAGAACTGACGCCGACGAGGTTGATCTATCTTGTACGTAATTTTTATTGTTTTGTATAAATTTTTTGAGTTAACTGATTTTAGTGTCTATAGATAGAGTATCCATTTTATCAAATTAGCCAAAATTAAGAAATTAGTGACCGACTTTAATCAAATATTGATCGATCTCGGTTTCTGACATTAACTCCATATGTCCTATGTCAAAATTATGATCGGTAATAGAAACGATGAAGTTGGCCTTCAAACATGTGATAGATAAGTATTCATAGTTTGCATTTCTTATATGGCACGTAAGAGAAAACAAAAATTTAAAAATTACGAACATTGATGAGGTCTGTAAGAGGTGAAGATTTCCGTATAAGTTCGTTTAACATTCTAACTACTTACACTTATGTTATTCATACTCCACCCGGAGATGTGTCACATAAGCAATATAAATTAATTATTTCAATGAATTTATGTGATACTAAAATGAGAGTGCGGGAAATACAGTAAATGACGCGATAAATGCGGACATGGCTAATCAGTCAATGTCCAATACAGTTCCGCAGTTGATTCCTGATAGTGACCACTCACTGGAAGTAAGTGTGTAGAATTATAAATATTTTTTATAACAAAAAAAGTGTTGTAAAGAATATGGTTAGTGGCTTAACTTTTAAAGTTAGTAGCCCAATGGTTAAATCAATAGTAATAACTATGTACTCTTCAAAATATTTGATCAAAATCAACAAACTTAATGAAAAGCCAAAAATAAATATAGTGAATAGAATTTGCCCAATCGAATGATCCGTACATTTCAATTAGAATTAATTGAAATGTACGGATTCTGCAAACGCGTCATGTTGAAAATCGAGTTAACACTCGGTTAAACCAACTGTCTGTCAATGACAATCTCGTTTACAACTGTTAAAACTATTAAGTTAGTGTTAACAAAACTGACAGCTCGTGGTTTAACACGGTAATCCAGTTTTACTGGAAATCCGTAAAGCAAATTGAGAGAATTCGGTTGAATTCAGAGGTGCGTGAAGTGTACAAATAAATTGTTTAAAATTGGAAGAATCAATGTACGCTTCACGAATATTTTACTGAAAATGCTCTTTTAAAAGTTAAATTCTTATCGCATTGTAAACCAAAAACCATTCTCGAGTTTCACTCGACTATGTTGGTGATTATTTATTACAATTCATTAATTTAAAAAAAAAATCAATTCATAATATTATTATATATATATTTTACCTCAATAGAGTGAAAATGAACACAAATCATATTGTCTTTATACAGAGTAAGGCCATTGTGTTACCGAGGTTAATGTGATCGTTAAATATTTTCCTATAATTACATCTCAGTTGACTTTTATCGTTCAGTGTTATCTATAATCTGTAAGTAGTCGGTAAAATAGTAGCTCAATGGTAAGTGGAGAGTTACAGTTCGGATTACCTTAACAGCGGATGTAAATGTAACTTGACTCGAAGAATAACGTCTCTGCAAAGGTCAGGGATTACTTTTCACAATAGACACTAAAATTAGGTGGCACCAAGTAGATATAAGTAGATACGTATTTTGTTTAGTGTCGAGTATGTTCAGTGATCAGGCACACTTATCAAACCGCACTGCTGATATGAGCATCCCTTTTTCGTGCAGTGTAGTTTTAATGCTTGTTAAAAGTCTGTCCGTATTTTTAGCATACTATTAATTTGTTTTATTTGTGTTGTTTAAAAGGTGAAGTGAAAATAAGAAGCTTGAAGAAGAACAGGACGTTGTCTGAGCCAACAACGAGCAAGGGCATTCTCAGCAAGGTACAGTTTTCCTTGACATATTTACATTTTTTATATTTTCAATAAAAAATTATGTTTTGTTGGTAAAAACTAATTAAAATATGATTGTATTAGGTGAGGAGCGCGACTCTTGGCAGGTCACATAAAGGAGACAACGCCACTGTGCCGAAAACTGACGAAGTTCACGAGTATCATGAGATTTCTGATACTGACACGGTAAGTCACATTGCCTTTTTATTATTTGATCATTTACATCATGAGTTTAGAATACTCTTACAATTTATAGCACTCTCTGCAGTACGTTTTTTTATTTCTACGTCTTTGGTGTGAAAAGAATGGTTGTGGACGAAGAAAAATAAATGATGTGTATTTCTTTTGTTCTTATCAAGTTTATTTATGTATGGATTTGCACAGTTCACCGTTTTATTACTTCTATGATACTTTTTTATTTATATCCTCCGTATTTTCAACAATATTTGGTGAAGGAGGGGTGACATTGCGACAAGGAAAACAGGAAATTGGAAATAAAGTATGTGTGGAAACTTTATTTGACACCCCATTTATTACCCTGCGATTTTATAAAACAACAACTTCTTAACTAATTAAGACGTGATGTATTTTGACGTATTATTTTATCAGAAGACTGAAATATTATGTTATTAGACATTTATTAAAACATTTTTAGGAGAAAGACCGTTATGGAATGTAAATATGCCACCCGTCCTCTCTTCGCTTATACATATCATAAAGTAAATTATGTTTGGAGTACAGAAAATCGCGTAAATTAAACTATATTATTGAAAGTAAACCAATTGCCATTGATTTTTATACTTGAAATATGTTAATAATTGAAATCACACTATTTGTGCTGAAATATAATTGAATATGAACACGACTGAAACTTTTAAATACACGCGGTTACATCGGCGCAGTAAGCGCTTAGTGCGCCGTTGCAAGCTTACTGTGTACACGAGAGTGAACCTTATATCAAGGCAGTAATCAATGCAGGCAGCTCGTCAGGCATCTAGCCTCAGTCGCAATTTGTAGAAGGCACGGTGCACTTCTGCAGCTCTCGTACTGTCATCCCGCGCTTTTCGTAAACCGCGCGAGTACAGACTACCGACGGACTCTGTAAGTTCAGTGTTTGTTCTTTAGCTTAATATTTGTTATGTTTTCTTTAAAAATATTTCATTTTGAATTGAAGTATGTTGACCTTAATTTTCATAATATATTTTTTACTTGTATTTTTTTTTTATTTTTCAATGCCACTGCAATTTATTTAATAAGCGAATTTGTCATTATGTTTATTTATGTTAGACCTTTTCAAAGCACCTTGCATCTTACTGCGACGTTCGTCTTGATTGCTCTGTATCCAGCCTTGCGACAAATTAATTCGTCCTTCAATACTCGATAATCGGATTTGATCGAATCTAATTTTCCGTTTCAATAGGGCACAATAGCCCTACATTGAAACTCAGGGTCCAGGGTGAAACACGCTCTATCTAGGTACCGTATTACGTATTGACTTATTGTACTAGTTTCTATGAATCTAACGCTTAATGGATTCAGAGTTTGATGTTTGCGTTGGGTAAAATATTATTAGGATTGTCAATTGTGTTTTTTTTTTAATAGTGGTGGTCTGTTATTGTTGCTGTTACGGTATAATAGAAACTGGACGAGGCAGCCCTTGTCCGTAGGTCGGTGGTATCGTAAGCGTAACTGCCGAGCAACAAGTGTTGGATTGAGTTCTTGTGTCGATTAGGGAAAGTAATGGCGGGGTTTTCAAAATGTTTAGTAATATCCTTTGTCTGTTAAGAGGGCCACGCCCTGTTGGAAGGAAAATTTATTACGTTTTAAAAATAAATGCCGTTCCTCATTACCGTGAAAAAAGCTGAAAAAAGCTACCTAATGATGTTTCAAAGAAATAAAATTTACTGATATTAATTTCTAAATAATACCTTTCTTATTCGCCCTCCGCCTACCTGTTCGAGGAGTAATGAGTATTATATATTCTGGGACTGTTCCTACGTCCGCTTTTTCGCGTGATTGAGAAGCACAAGCGCAGCAAGTGGTTATGAACTTTGTTCTGAGGTCGGGTAAAAGATTCGCGCGATTTTAAATTATATGGGTACAATGATTCGGGGTTTTTGGTCTTTGCTCCTGTTTCATAATAGGATCATCCTATAGATATAGTACATTACATTAAATTATATACGGGCCTTGCAAAATTTTTGAACGCTCTGCTGAAAAACGCAGTTATGAAATTAATACTTAGCTATTTTAATGAGTACCTACTTACTGAAAGGCGTTTCTACGAGATTGTGGAGTACATTTAGGTTTCGTAAAATTATGTATTTAGAGTTGCCGTTAAGCTGTACTTTTCTCCAGTTATGTTGCGACCATGGTCGCGCTGCCCGAGAGTAGCTTGCGATCCGCTTGCGAAACGCTTACAACCGCGAACCGCTCGCAACCGCAAACCGCTGACAACCGCGAACCGCTCGCAACCGCAAACCGCTAGCAAACGCAAATCGTTTTTAACCGCGAACTGTTAGCAACCGCGAACCGTTAGCAACCGCGAACCGTTAGCAACCGCGAACTGCAATCTATCGCAACCGCTCGCGAGTATGTCACGAACTGGGTGCGTGTATTTCATATACAAACCTATTTAAAACACTTAGTTCGCGATGTGGACCTACCCTAAGATGCCTTGATGCAACTTGAATAGGTCGGCTCAAACGGGATAATACTACCGTCTCATGAAATGTGTGCGCGAAGTAGTGACGTTATGTTGCTGATTTCGTTAAGTTTGGTAATTGTGTCGGATGCCGAACCTTCGATCGCTTTCGGTGGAGAAGATGATATGCATAATCAAACTGCCTCGTGGTCTGCAAAGCTTTTGTGCCGCCCGCCTCTGGTGTTAGGTGTTCTTTGGCTGCACTGATCACTTATTTTGAGGCGGTCTGGTATTTTTGCTACCAATTCTGGCACCGCTCACAAACATGATGACATGGGTTTTTCATATACCTCATACACGCCACCCACACGTCGTTCGCTAGATTCTCACGAGCTGCTTGCAAGCGGCGCTTTCGCAATGTGAAAGCACCATTACAACATTGTTACTGTACTTTCAAGAAATCAGAAGTTGACCCGAGTACATACTCGGGTCAACTTCTGATTTCGTTTCGGTTGCCCAAAATGCAAAATTACGCGGCAAGTTCTGCTACGCTGTTTATTGTCAATATTCAACCATGCTTAGATTGATACCATGAAATATCCCCTGTAACATAAAGTTAGGAAAGCAATCTCCTTTCTGACACGTAATAGGTACTTGGTAGGTATGCTTTGTAAATAAATAAGTAGTGTACAAGGACGGAACTCAAATTCTACACATTATAATATCTAATTATAGTTTGCATTGAAATTGTTTAGTGCAAACAGAGGGTGGCTATTCGTCTCTTTGTGTTAGTCCGTGCAAGCATGAATTACGTTACCTGGAAATGAAATTCCTAGAGTTATTTGAATTGCACGCTCGCGTGGGCTAGATACTGCGCAGTTAATTATGAACTGACGAACTATTGTTTAATTCTCGAAACGTTTTCACAACCTACTAACTATAATATGTCAGTGACAAACAATTGCTTTTACGAATTGTTATGTACCTAGGTGTCAGTAGCATAGTGGGTTTGTTGCTGTGCTAAATGTATTCGCGTAGTTTTAAAGTTTGTTAAATAATTAGTTAGTACAATTTCCTCGAATGCGTTCGCTAAGTGGCACCTTAAGAATACGTACCCGAAAAAGGGTTGTTTCTGAGATTTCTGAGATTCATTTATAGAGATCAGAATGTAACTGGAAGTCAAAAATAATAACTAGGGCAATCCAGTTGCATATAATATGTTTTATTTGGCTGCAAGATCACAATTAAAATGACTTGAATTTGCAAGCCGGGGGTCAAGTGTGGGAGAGCCATGCTTCGGCACGAATGGGCCGGCTCGACCGGAGTGATACCACGGCCTCACAGAAAACCGACGTGAAGCAACGCTTGCATTGTGTTTCGTCGTGTGAGTGAGGTTACCGGAGGCCCAATTACCTTCCCCTTCCCCAATTTCCCCAATCCCTGAATCCCCAACGATCCTCAAACTCCTAATCCCCAAAAAGCCGGTGACGCACTTGTAACGCCTCTGGTGTTCTAGATGTCCATGGGCGACGCCGATTGCTTACCATCAGGTGATCCGTCTGCTCGTTTACCGGCTTATGGCATAAAAAAAAAAAAAAAAAAGCCGCATTATGTAATTGCAATAGTCGAACAGTTCATGTTGTGTAGTATTTTAATAACTCGTAACTCTTAAATTAAATATTTCATTTCAGTTTTCGTTGAATCAAAAGTATTTTATTCCGATTTAATTAATGATGAGGTTATAACTGTGGATTTCAATAATAATGCTAAAATGCAGATGGAATTATGTAATACATATATTGCTCGGGCGCTCCGATTTAATTTTATTTTACAACTATGGTTGTTATTATGACTTTAGGTAGAGTAATTCGATTTGTTACATTAGTTTTTTTGTGACTATTAACTCGTCGAGTACCGTCAATACAGACACAATTATAGAACAATAGGTTGCGGTCACCGGTGACCGCTTGGTGTTTGACAGTTTAAATAATCAGCACTTTTATTATGCAGTGCCTACTTACATAAATTGTTTATAGCTAATCCCGCGCGATTTCAACTGCTATGATCGGCTCCCATAGATCGTAGCGCGCATAAATGCGTGATCGAACACAAAAAGAATTACTATTCAATACGGACCAGCAGTTCCGGAGATTAGTGCGTTCAAGTAAACAAACAAACTGTTCAACTTTATATAATAGTATCAGATATAAGATAAGATGTGTTATCCACACTGCACGCTACATGACAACTCTACTTTCAATTATAATGAACAAATGCTATTAAAGCAGCTGAATAACCATCGCCTGTAGTTTCAAGAAAAAGCTTTCGTGATCCACGGTCCATTTCTGATATGCCTGACCTGACATATTGTTCATCAGTTCATGAATTAGCATTAATTGTCAAATCTCATCTCAAGTTTGAGCATACCGGTGCCTACCATTGCGTGAATATTAATTGGCATCGTATGGCATGCTTAACCTCCTATTATATTGGCACTGTAACATTTCAGCAAATATGGTTTAAACATTTTAGTTATGCATCG